CTCAATATACACATATACTTTTTTCCCTGAAAATACTTCTGACATCTTTCCAAGTCAATACATATAGCATGACCTCATTAAAAAAAAAATTATTGTAGTAAAAAAATACATAACACGAAATTAATCATTTAAAAAATATGGCAAAACATATATGACAAAATCTACCATTTTAACCACTTTTAAGTATACAATTCAGTGGCATTAAACACATTCACAAAGTTGTGCAACCACCATTCATCCATCAATGGATACTTATGTTGCTTCCACCTTTTGGCTATTGTGAATAATGCTGCTATGAACATGGGTGCACAATTATCTGTGTCCCTCCTTTCAATTCTTTTGGGTATATATCTAGAAGTAGAATTTCTGGATCATATGATAATCCTATGTTTGACTTTTTGAGGAAGTGCCAGACTGTTTTCCACAGAGATTGTACCAGATAATTTCATATGTGTCCCCTTTTTTGAGAGATAACCTAAAGTATTTTCCTTTTGGTCTTAATGACAGGAACCGGAGAGCTAAGTTGTACATGCAGAGTTAACATTTTAACACTTTTTTCCTCTCTAATGAGTTTCTGCTGTTAAAAAAATCTTTATTATCCTTGTAATATATGATTTTTTAAAGTACCACTAGAATGCTTTCTTTGAAGAAGGTGCAACGGTCTCACACTGCATGACTGCGTTTCTAAAACATTAGTTAAGGAAGGTATGCTCAAGCAAACAGACGAACAACACCATCTTAGAAGTTTTGGAGACTATTACAAAACCTCCAAAGGAAAATGTGAGTCATATAATTTGATTACTATCACTATCTTCTAATCGAATACATGAAAATTAACATTTTATAATCAGCTAATATAAAACTACCAGGTGATTTTTTTTTTTTTTTTTTTTTTTTTTGCAAAAGCAAAAAATAATTCAGGGCCCAAAGTGCCAGTTACAGAGAGGAAAACTTTCAAAATTTTTTTCTCTAGGTGCTTGATGGTTAACAAAGAAAGGCTAATCTGGGTCTTTATCTAATCCCTCTGGTTCTTAGTGGGACAGTTATGCAATAATACTATAGATCTTATGCAATAATACTATAGTTATCTCAATCTGAGAACCACTGATTAACCCAGTAGAGGGCAATGCTGTTACTAAAAGTTATTCCAATTTTAAAAGATATCTGAAATCAAATACATTTGTATTTGCTTCTATATTATAAAAATATTAACATATTTTTACAGTATTTCCTCCTTACTAGCATGGGTAAATTAAATCTCAAGCATAATAAAATATTATATTGCAGGAAATCTGTACTTCAGAGTGAAAAAATGAAAACCACTTCCAAAAATAACCCACCAGAATCAAAGAAGCTTTTCTATAACACTAAATTGTTTACTTGCATATCTCATTTAGATTACTTTAACTGGACTTCATGAGCTCACCTGTATTTTCAGTGCACATAACTGAATATTTATCTTTCAAAAACTAAAATTCCATTTCTCTTACTTAGCCAAAATTATTAGCTCCTCCATTAATTAGCTATCGTAAATTTTTAGGTTTTTTTTTTAATATTGGAAAAGACAGAGATGACTTGCCAAAAGCTCGGTCATAAAGTAAACAAAAACTTTGCATTTTTTAAACAGTAATGGATTCCCACACATACTTTGCCCAAAGAAAATTCTATTTGCTAGAACACTGAAACATATTTTTGTTTCCAGAGATGATGCAATCACTTAGAAATTTCTCAAAATACGGATAGTTGAAATTCCCTTCTGACACTTTCAAAATACAGATGGTCCCAGAGCAAAAGGAATTACATTAATTGAAATCAATATAAACAAATTCTTCTATCTAGCATTTTAGATGCCTTTTTCAGAGGAATAATATATGAAGGAAACATAAAACATAGCTATTAAATTCCCAAAATAGTAAAAACTTTTTCTTTGTTAAAATAGGAAATGTATTGGATATTTTATGGAGCAGATTCCTTCTTTAACAGTTAACCCTCTCTTTCAACATACGTATTTTATTTTTAAAAGGGTTGCTGAACAATTTTCCTAAGAGTAAAGATGAAAATCACTGTGCTATGGAATCTTTTTTTACCAGGTTGTTTTGAACAGAAACACACACACACACACACACACACACACATACACACACACACACACACACACTTTGTATACGTTGTCAAGACTGGGTGCATTTATTCTGGTGTTGCACAGTCTTCTGATATTTCTAATATTAACTCACTAAATGTATTCTGCTGCTATATATAATACAAAGTATGGTTGTGCCTATCTTAAGAAGCTAATAAAATGCTTCTCAGAGCTATAAAATAAGAATATTTAGAAAAAAGTTCAAAATGTTTAGAAATATTTTTTTCAGGGAAAAAAAATGTCTGTAGGTCACTTTTCCAAGAGTAATTTATTTTGACTTGCTGCTAAGAGTCCAATAACTGTGGGCTGGCTATTTCTTCAAAAGGTCCATTGTATATAAAGCAAATTTCCAAAAATGACTTCCAAAACACTAAGTTCATGCATTTTGTTTTATATGGTTCCTAACAACATCCAAATCTGGAGAATTTAGATACTTACAAGCCGTATGACAGTAAAAATGCCTAAAATCATGCAATAATCTCTGATAAAATATATAATAGACTGTTATCTTTTTTAAAAAAATAGATAAGGAGTTAATTTTTTTAGACATGAATAAGGTTCTGTAATAAAAAAGAAAATTAGCTTAAGCTTAACTTAAAATTAGAGTTAATTACAATGCACAGAAACATTATAAATCATGTCTCAAATATGACTATACAAATTAGTCTCTGCAAATCCTTTACCATCGAATAGTGCTCCTGAATCAAAATCATATTGGAGAAAATCAAGGGAGAAGGCAGTGGTATAGGGTAGTTAAGAAATCAGGATATGTGTGTGAGAATGTTCAAGGTTAATACATGAATGACATACAATTTTGCCCAAGAAGAATAAAGAAATAAATCAACACAATCTGTACTTTTGCTATGACTTAGAACAGTAATATTCAAAATTTTTTTTTGTTCGAGTACTTCCTAATATAGTTGTTAAAAAACCTATATACTCTTTTGCACAATTTTCTAGTTGACAATTAAAATTTTTAAAATAATAGTTTCAAGAGATTTAATTCTGTCATACTGAAAATAGTGGTAATTTCTGGAAAATGATTACTTTTTTAATGTATCCAGTGGACTCTAAATACCATAATGATTTGATGCCCATCATCATCCATTTAAAAATATACATGGATAAAGTGTTTTTTAAAACTTGGAAATATTATAGCATTCTTTTTCTTTTCCCCTTGAGCTTGCATTTTCATTCTATTCTTATCCCAGAACAATAGTTCTTAGCAGGGGTGGAGAGGTAGGGTCCCTGGGGGTGGTGGTGATCTATCAGCTCATAATTAGATTCTCTTTAAACATTATTAAAAACAAAAAATTTGAAACCAATTGACTTGCAAAGTATTTGTTATATAATATTTCATTTATGTTCTTAAAACCTACAGGTACTGGGTAACCCAGAGATTTTTAAACCCATGCTTTACTACAGAGACCAAGTTAGGCCTTGTTCTGTGAAGTGTCTTTGGGAATTTCTTTTACTGAAATATGAGAATACAACTTCACTTAGCTGGTAGGGTTTGGGGAGTCTTAGCAGAGATTTTGAAACCTAGCAAATTACTCTGAAAAATCTCTATTAACTGCCCCATAACCATGTCTACTTATTAGTTTATCAAGAAAATTCAGGCACAATTGTCATCAAATACCTATACCTAACAGCCTAGGTCTCTGAGGCCATATCATGGGTTTTATGAAAACTAGATTCTCAAGAAAGAAAATGGTCCAGATATGACTAAAATTCTCTCCATTACTCCCTTACCTCTTAGATACTCTGTACTGTGCTGTGGTCAATTTTCCAGTCTCAGGGTCATGTACTGTAGCTCGGCTCAGCTACAAAAAAAAAAAAAAGAGAAAGGACAAGGACTTACTCACGTAGCAGGCAATTTGGACTTTTGTTTGTTTTGTTTTTTGTTTTGTTTTGCCAAGCCACAGGTGATTGGAGGGTTCTGATTGGTCTGGATGGTAGGTAATGGTTTCAAATCAGCAAAAACATTTAGAAACGTGGCCATTAGAAAAGCCACTTCCAAATCAAGAGAAAACCGGTTGACGAATTTTTTATGGATTTATTGTCCTTTCACTTTTTTTAAAAAAACCATCTGAAGCTGTATGTAAATGATTTATAGCACTGTGTTTCACAGGAGCTTTCTCAAATCTAGAAGTTTAGTATTCTTTAAATATTTTGACAAAAGAATTTTTGTAGTCTCTTTAAATTCATTTTTAAAAACTCTCACCAAGAGGAAAACTGTCGTAGTCTCTCTGGTAAAGTAAAAGGCAACAAAATTCATAAGTAATAGCAGTTGGAAGACAGATCAGAAACATAACATTTCCTTCCATTGCCAACTTTTAAGTCAGCAAGTTTTTAAAAATAAAAACTCCAAGAAGAGGAATATAGATTACTCCAAAATGACAATGGTATTTTACAAGATGTATGAACAAATGCCAATACAATCACCATGAAGGATGATGTGAATTTACTGCAGCATTTATGAATGTGAGAGAACTACATAAACAAAGACTACTCCCAGGTTAATCCAGTCTGCTGCTTTTTCTTTTTCTCCCCCTTTGGCAGAAAAAAGAAAAAGAAAACAAGTTATCAAGCCATTTCCTGGATATTTAATTCCTGACCTGCACAGAGATGCAAAGCTTATTAATTCTCTAAAAATAACAGACCAAGTAAAAATTAAAAACAGAACTTCTAGTTAAATAGAAAGATCTGTGAAACACAAAGCAGTTTATCCATGCGTATATAAATAGGCGGTGACTTGAGCTGGAGACTGAAAATGACCTACTTCCTTTAAATGAATAATTCCTGGAGGATGTACAAAACACTCATTAGGATCAAAATATGCAGCATACACATCTCTTACCTTTTGCTAATTCTGTAATGTACCGTCTCCAAGTCTCCTGTTATTGGGTTTGAAATGGTGGCTCGCCTCAGCTGTGAAGCCAACCATCAAAATACTTGCATTACAAAACAAAAAAATGAATTACATTTATCCAACCAGTCAGAATTCTGGGATTTTCATAATGGAAGCTGAAAAGAGAAAACAACTCCAAAGACTTCCAGTCACCTTGTGTTGAGCTTTGAAAGCCAGTAGTTTTTCAGGCTTTTGTATTTTTTTAGTTATTTAAAAATTTTTGCTTTTGTTTTGCATAAATGGAGGGTACACAATGAAAAGAAATTGAAAATTAAACTCTTGTCAATGGTTAGAGGACGTGACAGTGAGGAAAAGAAAAATTCCTAAAATTTTGAGTCTGTTTGATAGTTATAAGAATGGCTTTTTGCAGTTAACGATCCAGTCCAAACCTCTGATTTTAATTTTTTTAGTAATGAAACTGTTCTGCAAAGGTTAATGTTGCTCAAAATTTGTTTCCAGGTCAGTCTTTTCTTCCTTCAAGATGTCTGCTCATGTTTCACATCTATAGTGAAATAATCTTGGACTGAGCACAAATGAAGAGAACTCATAAATGTTAAAAACAGTAAAAAAGAGATGACAGCTAAGATAATGATTTTAAACTTTTTTTTTTTAGTGGAAGATGATTCTGAGGTTAACAAAAGAGTATTAAATTTTTATTGCCATTGAATCTTTTGATCAAAATAATCCTACTGAGCAATCCCCTTTGAAGACTTTGGCCTCTAAACCTAGAGATATAGGATCCCCAACCTGAAATGAATTCTTAATAAAAATTCTACCAAGATATTTTGGTTTATTGGGTTTACTGACCACAAATAATGGATTAAAATAGGAACCCAAAAGAGAGTAACAGAATATGATGTAATGATAAGTAAAGATTTATAAGAATTCCCTTGGACAGCACCCATTTACATTAGACCTGTCTTTTCCATTTAAAATGTAATCTTTGGTAAAAAAACAAAAAGTAGCAATTTGGAACAGTAGTAAAACTTAAAAACAGCAATTCTAACTTTAACTTTATTTTGCAATACAGATATCCAGATAATTCAACCTTTATGATATAACAAGGATGAAACTATGGTCTTTGGGCCAAATTTGGTCTGCCTCCTGCTTTTGGAAATAAAGTTTTATTGGAATATAGCCATACTCATTTATATATTTTCTATGGCTGATTTTGTACAACAACAGACTGGAGTGGCTGTAACAGACTGTATGGCCTACAAAGCCTAAAAAATATTTACTATTTGGAACCTTACAGAAAAAAAAAATCACCAACTGCTGTGTAATAAGAAAGCAAAAATATGCTTATTTAAAAATCTCTTTATGAAGGTTATATCAGTTTGTTTTTTACCATCAATGAGACCAAACAAGTTTTAAGAACAAGCTGATGGGAAAAAAAGGCAAGAGCATAAAGGGTAGTCTTTTTCATTTTCACAAAAGAAGAATTTCTACACTAAACACTAAGTTTATAGGACTGTGTTCACATTAATTTGTTTTTCTTATTAAGATAAATGATGTGGGTTAAAGTCAGAAAACTATAATGTTATTATTTCAAATTAACATGATGCTTGTACCAATTATATCTTTCTAGTAATAATGTGCCTAAAAGGGAATAAAAATACTTCAAGTATTCTTTTAAATAAAAATATAAAAGATATGAAAAGTTGGTCTTTGATTATCAGTCTCTGAGATTACTGGGCTCCAAAGTACATAGAAAACTTTTTCAGAGAAGATGCTGAAACACAAATTTGTTAAGTGTAAAATAAAAACTTCATCTATAATCTTCATAATGTAGAGTTTAAAACCCATTTGCAAGATGTTATTTGTGTTGAAAACAAACCAAGAAAAATTGATATCAGTGGAGCTTAGTTAACAACTCCATTATGTTGCAGCAACAATATATAAAACTATCTGTAGGGTTACTGCCATATCAATTATCATTTCTGTAATCTTGCAAAGAAAAAACTGATACACAGGTATAGTAAGAGGAGAGGAAAAAAAATTAAAAAGTTATTTACCCTTGGTTTTGCTAGATCTTTGACAATTTCGATTTCTGCATCGGAAATAATATCATGGAAGCGAATAATACGAGGCTTGTCCCACTCATCCTCCTGTTTGGCTGGAGCCAGAATAAATTTAGGATTCCTGTTTCCATCATGGTAGCGGCAAAAGAGTTTTTTCTGTCTCCGAGGAGTCTAAACACGAAGTTAAGAAAATGATAAATATGAGAGTAATAATATTTTTAATGCTTGTTGCTATACAGATAAGAAACTATAATCATGCCTGTGTATACACAGAGTATCTGTGGACAAACACACAAAAGCAACAGTTCTCTGCAAATAATTACGCATTAAACAGTACCTTCAGGGTTTTAAAATTTTTATTAATGATTCTTTTATGGGAGAGAGATGGTAGGCTTAAGTTAAAAAAAAGTGGGATTTCTCTTTTAACCTTTCTCTCATTGAAATAGAGTTCAGGTGTTATCAATATGAAAGAAATAATGAAATGTTTATGGAAATATAAAGTGAATGACCAGCATTGCCCTAAACTTCACAAAATAACTGGGAAGCACCCAGAAATAGAAAGTTTCTAAAAGAAAAAAACAAAACAAAACCTAACCTAAATAACTCCCAGTTAATTGCTTATGGGGAAAAAAAGGGGTCGGTTTAAAAAAAAAAAAAAAAAAAAAGCAAACATGAAAATAGGTAATTCTGAAAAAGGAAATAAGTTATTAAACAAAGAAGCCAGGTGCTTTTATTAGTGGGTATTAAAAACAAAACAAATAAATGTTCTTTTAATCATCTATGTATTATTATTAACTAAATAAGTTAATTCTATTGCTGATTCTTCTCTTGATTAAACAAGTGTGTCATATCTGAAGTAGGAATATTAGTTTTTAGTTATTAGTTATCATACTAAAACAAATAATGATTCATGTTTATTCTCCATGTAATTTACCAAGAGTCAAATCCAAGGCATTGTATCAAATAAGTCTTTTATATAATGATGAGATGAATTTATTCTGAGAAGAAGGATATTCCTTTGATCCTGGGCAGGGTTGACATGTATGTGTCACATCGACAAACTGGCAAATTGGCAGACTAAAGTTTTATACCTATAGTTCTATTTTGCACTCTCCCTTAGAGTTAAGAGCAATAAAAAATATGTGCTTACTATTGGAAATTGGAACACAACTATACTTTTGATAATATTATAGAATCACTGAATTTTTTTAGGTGTGATAATGATATTATGGTTATTTTTCAAAAGATACTAAAATAGACGTGAAATTTTTTAAAATGTTTCATGAATCTAACAAAGTGTTATCCTTATATTTGTTCATTAACTCTCAAAACAAAAATAGGCATGTTCTGCTAGGACTCCATGAATTTAACTATCAGAAGTATCAACACATTTGCTGTTAGAGGTTAGGCTGTTGACAGTAAATCATCAAATATCAAAAAGTCATCAATAGCAAAACATAAAGCCCAGGTTGAGTTTATTCATAGTAGAGAAAAAGTTAAATGCTATTCGAATGTTTACAGTTAAAAGTACTTACTTCAAAAATTCACTAATTCATTTTCCTCTACATATGCCCAAACTCAAATGAACACTAGTACCACATGATATTCCTTAAAAATCAGTTAATGATCAGTTAATGTTGGGAAACAATGTATATCATATCCATAATACACATTATCATAAAAAGGTTCTGTAAAGTCCTGCAGCTTAATAAAAACCTATGTTCTCCAGATTTGAACTCTTTTGTATTTGGCCTATTATCTATTAACATCCTAAAGCACTAGTACTCTAAGTTATAAATACATAAATAATGATATACAATAAACAAAAAATTATCTGTAGACACATTTTAGTATTTTAAAGAATAAATGTTAAAGCCAAAACCTGTTGAAAGTCTTTCTGCATTTTTAATATTTCTTACATACACTAAAACATTTCACTAAGCAATCTTGTCAGGGTTGACTAGCAGCAAAACCACAAGAGATTACTGAATAGATGAATCCATTGTTTCATAATGGATTAGAATGGTATATCATTTCTACTTAAGAGTGCTGAAATCTCTTTTGCATTAAGATATAAGAAAAAAAAATTGATCATCTCCCTGTAATGATCTAATCCTTCACCTTAAAAAAATGAGCCTCTTTTAGTCTATGAAAAGGGTAACATTACCAAAAATGCATGTAATGGTATATAATTCACAAGCTTTATTTTAAAGCTATTTTACTAACAGTTGGAGCATATTAAGTGTGACACCTACAAAAAGGTGATGTGATATACTGTAATACTTTATGCTGTAATTATGATTTTTATCACATGTGCTTAAATATAAAAACTTGATTCTGTCTAGAACTATGTACAAACACATACACACACACACACATTCACACACACACACAATTGGCTTTTCCACTTTACCATTTTGATACCCTCCCCACGGCACAGCATTTCGTACTTCTGTCTCTCTGGCAGGTAATCCACAGCAACCCCTTTTTTCTTCGGTGTAGTTTTCTGATCAGATTGGTCATCTGAAGTAGACTTATTGGCATCTTTTTCTTTAGCCATTATATACTCAAAATACTTTAAGTTACCATTAGCTCTCTGATGTTCGGGGTCTATTAGAAGAGAAAGAGAGCGTGTCCATGAGTAAGTTTACATTGTTCAAACATCAGAATACAATAATATAGAGGACTGCATCATTTACCTTCCAAACCAGGATGCTTTTGAGAGTGAAAGGAGGCACTAATAAAAATTATTATACCAAAATAATAGGTGTAAACTAGTACTGCCCCAAGTAAATCAGGACATACAGTCACCCTATATGATAAGAGTTCTGGAGATGGAACCAGCCATTTATTTCAAAGAAGCAATTATTGCTCCTACTTTGAGAACTTAACCAATTAACCAAAGGAACTATGTATGATCAATTTAATGTCAAATGACTTTTAAAAATATTACTCATTCTATTGATTTTAAGCAATAGAAAAAAAGCTTTTTCTAAAAAGGGAATGTAATCACCATGGAGAAGACATGGTATACAGTTCAAAAGCAAACTTTACCACAGATAGATTATAAATGTAGAACACAGCCTACTTCTGAAGGCTAAGTGGATTTCAGTCCCAAAATTCTAAGTGAGACAGAAAAGAGAAACTAAAGATATAATTTTGAAATAAGCCAGAATCCACTAATTGCCTCTGAATTGCTAGTCATAATTTTTAGCTATCTTTTAGTAGGGGAAAGGAGGACTACACCCATCCGGGAGAAAAAAACCCAAATGCACACACACACACAGACACACACAGTCAGAACAGTATGCAGAAACTTCACTATGATATTAACTGAAGTGTTTAGGAAATCTAGTCTCATTTGTAAAATATTTCTTGTCTTTGAGAAACTGCTTACAAGATATTTTGTGATATATAATGTGAACCTAATTTTGTAAAAGGGAAAAGTGTGTGTGCAGGAAAGGAGTATATACTACAAGGAAACAAAAAACTTGTGGGTATCTTAGGGTGACGGGCTTATGGATGACTCTTCCATACCATTTTCTATTTTAAAAAATTTTTTGCAATGAGTTAAGTATATTTTAGGTCAAGAGAAAAAAATCACTAAAAAACACTGAAAAGAGGGTACTTAGAATATTTCAATTTATTAATTCATTCAACCAAGAAATAAACTAATTATAAAAAGTTCATTTTTAGATGACCAATCCTTTTGAACTCCTATGACATACACACACATTTACCTATTCATAAAGTTAATTAATTTTTAAAGGTTTAAAGCTTTGATATATACCCAACGTCGTCTGAATTTATTAGCATACACTTGTACCTCCAGAGATTCTGATTTAGTAGATCTGGGATGATCACGGAATTTTCATTTCTAATAAGTATCCTAGTAATTCTGATGCACACGGTCCCTAGATCATACTTAGAAAAATGCTATATATATCTCCGTTCAAAAAACTAGTGGTAAAATCCTTACATCACATTTTTCTAACATTTGAATATGACAATCAAATATTTTTTCAATGTATTTATTTCAGATCTCTATTTTTGGACATGAAATGCAATAAACCAAAAACATTCTTCAAAAGAAACTGGTTAATATTTAATATAGCAACATGGTAAATAAACATTTTTGACCGAGTTAGCTAGGTTAAGTCCAATTTTAAAAATCCTGAAGAATACAGAGCAGAGAAACACAGCCACTTTTGTAGTATTATAAGGTAATAAAAATCAGTTGCCATTTATTTAGAAAATAATCAGAGAGAGGGTAAAGATGAGGCACTTGACGTCTAACAAATAAAAAGTACCAAAGCTATATGATGAGATATATATATGACTATATGATATATATATATAAAATCTTGAATTAAGCTAAGTTTACATACCTAGTTCAAGAAGCTTCTTTGTTAGCAAAAGTGCCTTATCGAGGTCTCCCTGCTGGTACACTGCATAGCTCAAATAATCTAGAACAGAGACTTTATCAGTGGTAGAAACTTCGCCTTCATCCAGCTGCCTTAGTGCCTGTTCCATCCACAGTTCTGTGTGGTAATAATCTGCTTCTGTATAGGCCACTTTGCCCAACTCAAAACAGTCCTCAACTGTTAGAAAAGATTTGTGTTTTACTCCTATGGAAAGAAAACACAGAGAACTTTAGAAATATTAATATTAATACTATATTTATCTATGACAATACAGGTTTCAAAGGGCTATCTCACTTTTATTTGAACTTCACAACAACCCTGAGGTAGGAAAAGCAGAAATTATCTGAGGTTTATAAACAGATGAACAATTACAAAATAATGAAACATGGCAAGAATCACACAGCTAATAGGGGACATGGGACCTAGATATTCCAAGACTTCCATTCTCAGCCATCATACCAAAATGGAACACTAATTAAGTGGAAGCACGTAACTCTCTAGCACAGCAGGCATCACCATGTAAGATATATCTGTCTTCCTAACAATCTAGGCAAGAGATGAATGGACAGGAAGAAAGGCAAATCTGTCAACTGGTTCCTTCCCCTTTCCCTTCCCCTTCCTTTTCCAACAGCACTAATGATATATAATTTATATATCACATTTTTCTGTAAAGTTCACCCATTTAAAAAATACAATAGTTTTTAGAATATTCACAGAGTTGTGCAGTCATCACCATAATCTAATTTTAGAAGACTTTCATAACCCCAAAAAAGAAACCCTGCAATCGTTGGCAGTCATTATCCATTTTCTTCCCCTACCTACTACCTAAACAACTACTAATCTACTTTGTATATCTACAGATTTGCCTCTTCTGGTTATTTCATATAAATATCATACAACACATGGTCGTTGTGACTGTCCTCTTTGTTTCACTCAGCATGTTTTCAAGGTTCACACATGTTGTAGCATCTTTTTGATTGCAAAATGATAGTTTACTGTATGGACAGACTATATTTTATCAGTTGACATTTGTTTTAACTTTTTTGCTTTTATGAATAATGCTACTGTGAACATTCATGTACAAATTTTTGTGTGGATAAATGTTTTCATTACTCTTGAATGGAACTGCTGGGTCCTATGGCAACTCTATGCTTAACATTTTCAGGAAATGCCAAACGGTTTTACAAAATGGCTGCACCATTTTACTATCCCAAAAGCAATGTATGAGGGTTCCAGTTCCTCCGCATTCTTGCTAATACTTGTTATTGTCCATCTTTTTTATAATAGCCATTTTGGTGGGTATGAAGTACTATATCTCATTGTGGTTTTGATTTGTATTTCCCTAATGATGATGTCAAGCATGCATCTTTTCACATGCTTATCGTTATATCATCTTTGGGGAAAAAATATCATTCAAATCCTTTGCCCATTAAAAAATTTGGTTATTTGTCTTTTTATTGTTAATTCTTAGAGTTCTTTATATATTCTGGATACAAGTTCCTTATCAGATATATGATTTTCAAATATTTTTTACCCACTCTGTGGGTTGTTTTACTTTCTTAGTGATGTACTTTAAAGTACAGAAGTTTTCATTTTGATGCAGTCTAACTTATTAATCTTTAATCAGTTGTGTTTATGGTGTTGGTATGTCAACTGCTTTCCAAACTGAAATTTCTACATTAAGAAGAGATATCTGATAGTTCACATGAGGTAAAATATAAACAGAAAACCAAAAACACTTGGGAAAATATTTAGCCCTATTATTAAGAAATATGAAATTAAAATAACCATAAAGAAAAATATTTTAAACAGTTGCCTACATTTATTGAGGTCTTACTATGTGTCAGGCATTTATCACTCATTTAATCCTCAAAGCAATCTAGATAAGGGACTAAAGTAGAGAGAAGTTAACTATTGTGCTAGAGGTCACACAGCTAAGAGCCAGAACTGGAATATGCACAATATGACTTCAGGAGTTTGTGTTCCTAATATTATACCATAAATCAGAGGTCCCTTACTCCCAGGCTATGGACCGGTACTGGTCTGTGGTCTGTTAGGAACTTATCACACAGTAGGAGATGAGTGGCAGACTAGCGATGCTTCATCTGTATTTGCAGCAGCTCCCCAGAGCTAGCATCACTGCCTCAGCTCCACCTCAGATCATCAGGTATTAGATTCTCATAGGAGCACTGATCCCTGGTGCCAAAAAGGTTGGAGACCTCTGCCATAAATGACAAAATTTAATAGGAGGTAACAGACTGGTAACTTTAAAGATAAGACATTCAGCAATATGAGACAAGAATAATGATTTTACACCCTATGAACTGATACTACTATTTTTTCAATTATTTTCTTGAGTTTAGTACTAGGGGATAGGAAAGAAGTATCTTCTTAAACAATTTTTGTAGCTGAGCCAAATATTATAGTTGAATATTATAATAAGCTAAAAGCAAGGAAGTTTATAGGCAGATATGACAATATAATTAAATAGTGTTTTTCATTAAGAAAGATAATTTCAAATGCCATATAGGAATCACAAAAAAATCTAGATGGAAAGGAAAGGCACCTAAAAATGCCGTAGATGATAGAGGCTTTGTTCATCCATCTTGCGACCACATCAAAGCTGGGATGGAAATGGAGAGCAAACAGCAAGCAAAGTCACCTAGGATCTAGATGAGGAGAAGCATTACAACTAAGAAGAGAAATAATCAACCTGCAACCATAGAAGGTAGGAGGGGGCGAAGACGCGAGGCTGCCTCGTCCTGAGAGGCTGAGTGGGACAGAGGCGACAGCAGTGGCAGCTGGCAGCTGCAGATGCCTCTTAAAGGGGCGTTGTCTGCAAATGGACTTTCACAGTGACGGACCCGTTCATTCCGAGTACCAACACCCAGTTGTTATTTATGGCTGCATGGGGACTTACAGGGGAACACTGAGTTGTCAGAGCGCCTCTTAAAGGGGCGTTGTCTGCAAATGGACTTTCACAGTGACGGACCCGTTCATTCCGAGTACCAACACCCAGTTGTTATTTATGGCTGCAAGGGACTTACAGGGGAACACTGAGTTGTCAGAGCGAGGGCCGGAGGTGAGGCTTTCTCCCGGACAAAAGTCCCTGTGGTATCCATTGTTCCTCTGTTGAGCCCTCTGCCCCACCAGTGTGCGGACCCAGCCCTGCCATAACTGAGACATTATCAAACTGGGTAACAGAGGTCACTCCGCTCAAAAGATTCCCTGAAACTTTGCCTCCCCAACTCACGACTCCACCCAAAACACATCCAGTTGTATCTTCAGTGAGTCCAGTGCTCCTTACTGAGGCAACCTGAAGACCCATACTGGTATCAACTGGCCTCAGTTTCTGGCATGGCCTCTGTAAGTACAGCATCTCTGGATTGCTTGCTGAATCTTAACAGGTGGCCCCAGAGGAGCACAGGATGGGGCGAAACTTGGCCTGCTGCTGAACTCCTCTCAGGATTGTGCCACTGGACATCTACTACACAAAGCTATAAGACCGGGAGACTTAGAAACTTTGCCTAGTGCATAGAAACAGACATGGAAAGGCAGCCAAAATGGGAAGACAAGCAGAAACCATATGAGAAAACAGAAAAGAAATCCAGGAATAATGGAGTCAAGCAATCTAACAGATGCAGAGTTCAAAACACTGGTTATAAAGATGCTCCGTGAACTTAGGGGAAGTGTAGATAAATTCAGTGAGAACCTGATTTAAAAAAAAAACACACACACACATAAAAATGGAAATGAAAATTATAAAAGAGAACCAGTCAGAAATGAAGAACACATATTCTGAGATTAAGAGTATATTAGAAGGAATAAACACAATGGATAAAGAGGATCGAACCACCAATACAGAGGATGGGGAAGCCAAGGACACTCAATCGGAACAGCAGGAAAAAAGAAGCCAAGATTATAATAATACTTTAAGGAGCCTATGGGACACAATTAAATGTAAAATATCTGTGTCACAGGGGTACCTGAAGGAAAACAAGACATTGAAGAGCTATTTGAAGAAATATGATGGAAAACTTCCCTAACCTGGTGAAAGAAACAGAAATATAACCCCGGGAAGCTCAAAGTCCCAAAAAAGATGAACCCAAAGAGGCCCACACCAAGACACATCATAATAAAATGCCAAAGGTTAAATACAAAGAGAGAATCTTAAAAGCAGCAAGAGAAAAGCAGTTAGTTACCTACAAGAGAACACCCTTAAGACTGGCAGCTGATTTCTCAAAAGAAACTATGCAAGACAGAAAGGCTTGGGACAAAATATTCAACACGATGAAAACTCAGGATCTACAGAATTCTTGATCCAGCAAAGTTATCATTTAGAGTTGAAGGACAGATAAAGAGCTTCCCAGACAAAAATAAGCTAAAGGAATTTATCAATACCAAGCCAGTATTACAGAAAATGTTGGAGGGACTTCTTTAAAAAGAAAAAAACACATATCAAAAACAAGAATAAAGAACAGTAATAACTACATTCCTATCAACAAGTACCTCAAATGGAAAAGAATGAAGTGCTCCAACCAAAAGATAGGGTGGCTAAATAGATAAGAAAACAAAACTCCTACATATGTTACATACAAGAGACTCACTTCAGAATAAAAGACACACACAGACTAAAAGGAAAGGGATGAAAAAAGATATTTCCTTGATGAACCTAGAGGGTATTGCACTGAATGAAGTAACAGAGAAATACAAATACCGCATGATTTCACATAAATGTGGAATTCAAAGAACGAAACAACAACAAAAATAGAAACAAACTCATAGATAGAGAATATTTTGAGGGCTAATAGATGGGAGGGGATGGCGAGATGGTGAAAAAGGGCAAAGGGATTAAGAAGTACAAATGGATAGTTACAGAATAGTCATGGAGATATAAAGTGTAGCATAAGGAAGATAGTTGACAATATTGTAAAAAATATGTAAGGGGAAGAGGGATACTTGATTTAGTGGAGTGATCATTTTGTGAGTTATAAAGATCTCTAATCACTATGCTGTACAACTAAAATTAATATATTATTGTATGCCAACTATAACTGAAAAAAAAAAAAACTTCATAGAATTGTACAATGTAAATATGAGCAACTAATTGTCTATTATACTTCAATAAAACTGGGCGGAAAATCTAGATGGTAATATGTCAAAATGTTAAATTGTTACTCTGGGGGTTAGAATACAAATAAGCT